CCCCCCCCCAAAGCGTTTTCTGTCCTTTTCCTTACCCGGGCAGGTTTGGTCCTGAATTTACACGTAGAAATAGAAAGTACGTTCAGCGAGAATAGATCAAGGGATTATTAGGTCCGCGATGGGCGTACGGCCGGCGTCGCGACGGCGCAGCGTCACCGAGTGCCTCCGCCTCTGATGTCATCTTCAGGGAGTTTCAGATGCGTGGGTCGCGCCTAGCGGAGGGGAGGGAAGCAAGATATAGAATAAACTCATTTCAGACGTCGCCGTCGGCTTTCTGGATTCGGCTCAGCCCCTCCGGCTTTGTCTTTTTCGGTGACCTGGTTTTTCTTTCTCGGAAGACGGATTTCGGTCGCTTTCTTGCTAATTCTTTGGCACGATACTTGCAGATATCTTTGTTCTGAGTAAGAAAACTAAACGAGATTACTTTAGAATGTAATAAGGTTAGCAGATGTTACAATAAATAATAACCTGATTACAAGAAACGGTCCCTATAATTTTACCGTGTAACACACAATAATGTACTCCTATCCGTGCTAGAGAAGACCTCCAACTCATTGCATTTAACCGTGCTCTTTCAATACATATTATGTAGTAATATATTTACATATTATCAACAGTAAATTAACAGATAAATTATATTGCAATGTTGTTCATGAGCAACAGAGAATTTACGTTTTGAGTTTCTCATTATTGCCATATTCTCTAAAGAAATTATCATGCAGGTTCAACTTAAAGCAAATACGGAGAAATGTTTGAAAATATTATTTTCAGCACAGTCAAAACGACAAAATGAAAGTGTAAGAATTGTGAAATTAAGACGCCAATAATGGGGAACGACAACTGGAAGCCCCATAAAGGAAAATATATATACAGTGCCAGAATAATATAATTTAATTTATGGCCATTTAGTGAAGGCATAAAACAATAAAAATCATACATCAGAGATTTCTTGCAAACGTGTAAAGGTTTGCATTTCATTATTACGTTTGCTTTTAATTATTTTTGGATCAATGATGAAAAAAGAATAATCCAACACGAAATATTTACACTTTTCTTTCACAGTAACGTGCTTGCCAATATAGTCTACTAATGAACCACTAAGTATTCGATCTCAGGTGATAAAAAATCTTTCGCAATTTCTATATAAAATGAATAAAATAAAGTTTCTCTAACTAAGGACCGGCAATCGGCAACATGCTTGTATCCAAAGGAAAGTCGAATTTTACTTCTACAAAGTAGAATAGAATAATTGAGGTATATTAGAAGTATATTTCTTTATGATCTAGACTGAAGTGTAGTATTAATATAGAGCAGTATCGCACTTTAAACATATCCGAAAATTAATCCTGCTAGTAACAAAGGATCATTTAAGGGATGGAACAGTTATGGATAAGCTTTGGTACATAGAATAATTCTCTAAAACATGTGCATTGGGAGAAGCACGTCGACTACTACATGTCAATATCTCAGCTCCGTTGACGAGTAAACAGCTTTGGAATATTTTTCTCACTTTAGGGGATCACCGTTGTGAATCATTTTAGAGGAGTGTATTACGATGATTCACCAAGCCGCTACTAAGAAGATCACGGAAGAAAAAACTGTTTAGCTATGCGGCGTCCTTCAGGCCACTGAGCGTCGAGACGTCGCAAAGCGCTCCTCACGAGTGACGTGAAGGGGACCACGCCCTCTCGGTCGCACGCGAGCCACCGCGCCGCAGCCGCCGCCACCGTCGCCGCCACAGCCACTGCCACAATCGTCACCGCCACCACCACAGCTGCCGCTCCGCCACCGCCGCCGCCGCCATAGCCGCTGCCACCGTCGCCACCGCCACCACCGCTGCCACCACCGCCGCCGCTTCCGCCGCAGCCGCCACCGCCACCGCCGCTGCCGCCACCATCACTACCCCTATCACCGTCGCCATCCCCGCCACTACTGGGCCGCCGTCGCTACTGCCGCCGTAGTCGCCATCACCGCCGATACCGCAGCCAAAGTCGCTACCACTGCTACTATTCCATGAGGGCCGCCACAGGCCAAGGGGCACACGCGACTTATCCACTCGACGCGCACTCTCTCACTTCCTTCCAAAGGAGCCCACGTGCTCGGTGGATGCATGCCAGTTTCTGGTTGTGCGTGTTTGCGTGTCTCGTATTCAAACGTATCCCCAAGGCGCTCACCGACGAGCCAGTTTCGCCCACTAGGCCCACTTGCCACCCCTGACGCAAGGTCATTGCTGCATCGTTCCTTTAAAAGTGATTCATATTATCTTGTTTATCATCTGAGAAATACTATATATTATATATATACATATATATTATAGTATACTATATATATATATATATATATATATATATATATTAGTAAGGTGGGAACTGAACATTTTGTCCAATGAGAACGTTCAAAAATAAAGAAATAAAACATGTGAATATATAGACGTGGCATGTCAAAATCTTTGTTTTCTTTTGTTTTTTATCGACCTGTTAGTTTTTCCAATATCTTTTACTGAAATCCCATCATTTCAACATTTGTAAGAGTAGAAATCATAAACGAACCCCCTAGAAATGGATTACAGTAACTGTATCCCTGCAAGGGCACACGAAATACTTACCTAGAAAGCGGCAACCAACTCTCTGGAGGGAGGGATAATCCGCGGCACCCATCCGCCAGTAATTGCTACCTGCATAGTGACTGGAAAGATGATGCTCGAAGAAAGGGCCGTATGTAAATTGGGGACCAAATAATCCCTTCATCGCTTCTTGCGAGACTTACTTTCTAATTTTACACGTAAATTGTTGAGCAAATTAACTCAGGTAAGGAAAGGGACAGATTGAGCAGGTAAGCGTGTTAAGGCGACCGCCGCCGCGCTGCTGTCCAGTTTTTCCTTGTACCTTTGTGAAAATGTTAAAGACTCTCTGGTATATTGAAAAGCCAAGAAAATTTCATGTTCGGCGTTATAATTATAGCAGAAAAAACTAGACATAAAAATGGCAAGATAAGCAGAAGTCATTCAGTAAATGAATGATTCAATTGAATGAAAATAAACTTTAACCATACCATATTTCGAAATAAACATGCCAGACCAAAGTCTGGAAAATTGAGAAGGGAGTTGTAATTTCAAAATAATGGCTAACAAAATGTTATTCGAAAATTAAGTGTCACCTTCCCCTTTCACCTGGAAGAGATTGACGTCATCGGTCCTCAATTCATACGCTTGCCCTTCACTGGTTTGGTCCCCAAGTTACATATGTGTTTTCCTTCTGGTCCCTAATTTACATGCGTCGAAAGAAGGATACCAAATAATGAGTTCTTACAAAGAAACACCTCACATTAGAGTTTGTGCTTTAGGCAGATCTCACAAAAGAATGGATAGTTTTTCAAAAGCATTTGATTGTGCATCTATAAATTCCTCGTAACGTTACAAGGAAAATAAAATCTCCGCATTTCATCGAACGCAGCCACAGAAATATTTGTCACTCGATCTTATAACCCCACACCTACGTATCTGACGAAGGCTTCGCAAATACTTCGGGCACTCGGCCAGGCATGAGGTGGAACGGGAATCCTCACGTTCCATAAATACTATGCACCTCCGCCCTCACAGCGAACGACTGCTCCCCGACGCGACGCGACGCGACGCAACGCCACACGACGCGACGCGGGAGGTTTGCAGAGCTCGCGACGTATGTGCAAGTACGATCCACACGACCGTGCGCGACACATCGTGAAAGGAGATTGCCGCGGCCAATGCAAATGTCAAAATTTGCATACGCGTGAAAGATATGGTCTCCAATAACCCTTGCACTCTTGCAACATAACAGACGACCAGAATTCCTAGAATGTTCTCAGTTTCCAATACGGAAGGCCGAGGAAGGATGATGCGTATCTGTGTTGAAACACAAAATCATGTACGTCACTTAAGATTCTTACTACAAGTTTCCTCTTTCTCTGAGAACTATTTCTGCAACACGTTATGCAAATACCCTTCAGACTCTCCATAGAATTGCAAGTACCTCGTACGAAGTCAAGTACTTTTCCCGTTATCGCCAGATCTCTGGTCAGTGTAGTAGCCAGCGGAGTCACGCTGTTTGTGCCAACGTCACGGTCTATAACCAAAACAACGTTCAGCCAAGGCCGCTTCCCTACCTGAATGAGCATTACGATAAGGGAGAGAGCGGTGAACAGCCACGGAAATTAATATCATTGCCTGTTCCACTGGTTGTACTCACCGCGTATCTTCCCGGTCGTATGCAATACGTCACCTGCACATGAAAATTAATCTTGTTGATAACCTGATCGTTGGGAGTATTGTCCTCGAGACCTAACCACGTTTTTTCTGTTGTAGATGTAATATAAAGAAAAAGACGCAATTACACTTCCGAAAATTTGTATTTTCAATGGAACGTTTCCACAAAATTTGTGTAGAATGATAAAACAACACAGCGTATTTTAAAGGAAATTTAATTCAATGTAACACTTAGAACTTGACTTAGAAATGAACACCAGATGTTGTAAAACTAAAAATGGAGGTCCTAGAAGACAAATATTGCCGAAAAACCTGATACAATAGAGCATTTCTTGACAACTTTATATGGTAATGCCATTGGAAATAGAAAAAAATAGTATCATAGGGAATTTTATTAGTTTTTATTTTGAATTGAGTAAAGTTTTTGCTACCTTAACCGTTTCCAATATAAAAGAGAAAAAACAAAAGTATCGTCATTCCACGTGCCTCTGTATATATGTACTCTGGTCTACGAGATAAGCGATGCAGGGCGGCACGAAGATGATGTAGAGCTGCGTTAGATTTGTTGATGAAGGTGGAGAGTCATCCGTTTCGAGTGTCATCTGCCCAACGTACCACTTGACCTTGCTACACCACTGATCATGAATATTGTGACGTCATGGATACTCACAGCGACCACAGACACAGAGCTTTCGTATAACAATATATTTATTAACAAAGAAAACAAAACAAATATATACACTTTATAATCTACTTACACCCTAGCTCTGATAGACCTACTATACCCTGATCGCGGGAGCGATCCAAACCCGATTGAAGATGCTTTTGATTGTGGCATTCGCCACTCCTACTTTTGAAGCGCGCACAAAGCCTAGCTTCCGTGACCGGATGTCACGCTGGGACACGAAGTCCGTTCTGGCGCACCAAGGGCTGGCTTGCCTCGATCGCAGGAGCGATCTTATCCGATTGAGAATCGGCGTGATTCGTGGCACTCAACCACTCTTCACCTCGGAGCACGCACACAGCATCGCTCCCCCGTGACCGCAGTTACCCAAGGACATAAAGTCCGCAGGCTTCGTCAACTAGTGACTCGAGCCTCGCGAGCCTGGCTCGCATATGCACCGTCGTGGCGCCAAGTTTTGTGCACACGCACGAGGTTCTCCCACTGTCTCCAGAACCCACCCACTGGCTCTGTACACTCTGTTATATAGGCGAGGCCCACGTGACCTACTACGTCACGCCACCCCCTCGCAGTGAAAAGCTTCTATAAGCCAGAAACTCCCAAAGCCTTGTGTCTCCCGTTTCCACGTTCTTCCCTTTACGGAAAAACCCTACTTCCTGTGGCTAGACTAATCCTCTCCCAAGCGTCCTCAAATAGATGCCATGAGGCACGCTGGCTAATACGTTACAATATCCTATTACACAAGTATCGCCCACCTATTTTATGTGAAACCTTCGAAATAATCAACTCCTAAATTGTTACTTTTTTCAAATCATTACAATATAAATTTTTTTGAATTGACAAAATATAGAAGAACTTTGGTAAGCCAGGCATCCTTTTGTTTCTTGGTTAATGTCTTTATCCTCGAAAACTACGACTATGTCTGTCACAGAGGCATCATCGGAATTTTTTATTTTTAGAACCAAGATAATTTAGTGATATCGCGAAATTTTGTAATTAGAATTAACAAGCTCTACAGGTCACATACAAAATACAGACATACATAAACATCTACGCTCCAGATGGATTTCAAATTTGTAAGCCGAGGTAGATATAATGCGTCCGCATTAACAATCCCGATACTATATTTTTTGTTGTTGTTAGTAGCAGTATTAATTATACTGCTGATTTGCAAAAGCGCGTATTGAATTCCAGTTTTCTCTTAATCTTTTCTTAAGAATAGTTGCATAGTATTTATATTCATTAATATTTCATATCTTTCTTTTTTATACATGTTGCCCGTACAATTATTACGCACAACAACGCCAACAAAATCATGTTTTCTCCCGAAATGCCAAATACGAATGATGTGACACACAAAAGGCACGGGTTTCACCAAGCGCCCCGTGCAGCGGTGGATTTCCATCGGAATAAAGAAACCTGTTCCAAGAGCGCTCGCGAAAGTCCAGGCTGATTCTTCGAGTAGTGCGAGCACAGTCACGCGCACGAAATTCACGTGTTTGAGAGCTGCGGGCGCGGAGATCCCCGGCGAGTGGCGGGCGGTGACCGGTGACCCGGCGCCGCTTTCCCGCGCCAGCCGCGCTGCCCACAGACCACTCAACGAATACAGTAAAGGTAAACAAAGAATGAATGAAGCGTGAGTGATAAAAGAAAAGAAAATTAACCAAGATCTTTTGAAAGAAAGAAAAAATTCCCACAAAATTCATTGTATTTCTCTTTGTTCAACTTACGTTAATGTTTCAATTTTCTCCTCCTTGCTAGAGACCCACACAGGATGGTAAAAGTGTTTCCCGAAAGTTAACTCTGGGTAATAATTAATCTAATTATTAAACTTTTTCTGGACGATTATTTCCTTTACAACATTAAAGAAAGAACAGTATTAAGAGGAAAACATATTAAAGTTTGATTTAACTAAGTGCATATATTTTAAATGTACAATTAGATTAAATCAGTTTTATTTATTAGAAATATCGCCCCCCCTCCCAAGCTTAAGCCGTAAGGCAGTAGCGCATTTTCCTTCTGACTTTCGCAGAGATATTGTGGGGGAAATAGGCAAAAATAAGAAATGACACCGAGAGAGACCATAGCGTATTTACACTTCTGCAAGCAAACGTTTTGTTCATTAAATGCAGTGCTGCCAGAATTAAAGATATGCGTTTGGGGATTAGTATTTTTCTTCATTATAACGGATATGGTATTGTACATAATTGCAAATTGGTTTTCGGATAAAAACAAACTTTTGTCATGTATTTACGAATTAGGATTTTTGCAGTGTTTTGAAACGTTGGACAACTTATTGAAGCCTAGGAGATTATGAAGATATGGTATGAGTTAATGCAGGAATGAGAGGCGGGGAGAAAAGGAGAACCCCGAGGAAGCGTGCATCAAACCTGAGCCCTTCCGCGTTACTGTCAATTTTCAATGTTTAATTTTATGTAATATTTGTATTTAGACACACTGCCCTGATTGGGGCAAACCAGGTTTACCGTCAAACTATCAAATGGGTGTTAAAAACATAACTAGGTCGTCTTTAGTCGCTGTCTGGAGAATTCTGACGGCCGACTCCTCTGAACGGTAATTTCCTGTGGTATCTCCGATGAATACCAGTCGACTGCCGGAGCAGTACTCTAACAAACGGGTCAAGAACGGCGCGCGATCTTTCCTTCCTCTTCAGTTCCCTTCCTTGTCCTGTCCTCACCCCTTACTTACACACACACACTTACATGCACTACTCTATCATATATGTCTGGAAACCGGTGGGGAGCTTAAAGCTTGTCCCGGCTGGGGCAATGCCTCACTGATGGGAGCATGGAGAAATCACGTTACACGACGGTAGGTCGGCCTCGAATTTCACCATCTAGCGGGGGAAGATCACCGTCATCTCTCAAGGAAAACACACACTACACTTACGATACTAATGAACTTATCAGCTGACGCGCCCACAATCACTAATCAAAAAATCAATGGGTGTAAATTTCAAGAGTGGAATAGTCGCAATAGAGGTACACACTTCGAGTAAGAAGGTATTTTATAGTTTTTCACTCTTTCTTCCCTTTCTTTTGCTGGAACGTGGCTTTCGCCCTGCGTCGGATCAGAGAGGAGTGAGTGGGACGAGGGCGGCGCGGGACGTCTGCGGTGAGCTGGAAGGGATCTGTGCGTCGGGCGCGGAAGCCACAGGAAACCGCACGGAGCGCTAGACGTGCGTCAGACGAGCGCTCCGAGGTTGCAGTGAATAATCCAAAAGTTGAGCTACTCGACTGAAGAGTTATATAAGCGGAAGTCAACAGCAAACATTGAGAATACGAGTATTTCTAAAGCGTTTTTCGGAATAATTCGATAGTGTAGTTAACAATAATGAAGTAAAGTTATTGGGAAAAACGCCGAACAAATAGCAAATTTAGAGATTGTTTCTCCAAAATTGTCAATTTCAATTAAATAAAGTGCAATTATTATATTTAGGTTATTGTGATATTTTACTGAACAGTTGAGCGACGATAAGGCTTCGTATCATGCCCTAGATATAATGCAAACTTGTGATATTTCAATGCTATCCAAGAAAAGTCCTCTAAAACACATACCGCATACTACATCAATAGATTATGCTCTACTTTGTGCTATCTGTTCAAAGAGAAAATGGTCAATTGTTATTTGCATACCAATAACTGATATCAATGACTCACGAAATTTGAATTGCAGTTGAGATATAGAGCTGCGCTCTATATCCTCTAGAGATATATAGCATTACGAACGTTCCTGTCGACATTCAGGAAACTTCTTCAGAACGTTAAAAATACACCAGTGGATGGTTTCGTCGAAAAAATAAAATTATTATGGAGAGAGAAACTTCTTTAACGCAGCGCCAATCGAAAAAATCAGAAAGTAATAACTCGGATGGCGTTCGTTTACAAAACTTTCATTTGTTTAATTCACGGTGTGTTTACTTTCACTTGATATCAAGAGGCGAAAGACAACACCCAAGTAACCATTAGAAAAAGTTAATGTGGAAGCGTTGCTGATGATGACATAAGTGAGGATATGGCGATGCCGGCGGCATTGTCGAGAATAGCTGCAGCGAACGGTCAAGTGAAGGGAACAACTCGTTGTGTGATGGTTTTGCTATTCTTAATTTACAAATTCCTTTCACTCGCATCTGGCGTGAACTACAAGTAATGATCATCACCATCAGGAATGACTTCGAAATAGTAGAGAATGATATTCACTCAGAATGTTATTCAACTTAAAGTACTAGTAGAGGTGTGTCGAATGGGGACTTGATCCAATTCCCCACTCGACTCTAATGGATTGGACAATGCGAAAAATGAATGAGATTTCTGGGTCGACTTTTCCGAGCGACCTGTTCCCTGATGGGTTTTTTAATGTCTTGTTTTAACGATAAGTTCAAGACAAATGCTGAAGCAGCATCTGGCCATGATTCGCGCGCCATCTCTCCTTCCCCATCCGCACTCCACTCCCACCCTTAAGAGACGAACGACGGACTGTTACCATCCCCAATGACTCATGGCTTTCATCTACGTAAAATATTCCGGCATACATGCGAGAAACTAAATATGGGATGGACCAAAACACATTAGAGTTTAAAACCCTGGAGAAAGAAGAGATTGATATTTACTGTTTTCAAGAGAATATACTTCATTTGGAATATAGAATATGAACACGTACAATTTGAATGGCATCTAAGAACAGGAATCAAAATCTGGGTATCCAGATTGTTTCTTGACTGTCTTGTCGGTTTCATATGTCTTTGTTTTCGGTCCATTTTGTCTTCCCAACCACAAAATGCAGCACCGGCGCTAACAGCAGAAGCTAAGGTGACAACAGGAAAGCCACGTGGTCACGCTGAGTCGCATCCGCCACCGGCAAGGTGCCTTACGCCGGGATCAAAGTCTGAGAGAAGAAATCGCTTCCCGCAGCCTACGGCCGTGCCTCCCCTTCTCTAATAACAAATTCTAAAATATTATTTATTTAATTTTGTATGTCGTTACAATATAAGGTTTAATTATTGTCAATCGGAAGAATTAAGTCGCAACAATTAATTGTAAATTCCAGAAAGATAGTACAGTAATTCACAGCGTTCTGCCATAGTACTCATAGGTGCATTGAAATCGTCAAAAACATGTATTTCTCTAGAAATCTTTAAGAATACCCTATAGAAACGAGTTAAAAAGTGCGCCAATAGATTTTTTGTCCAGAGGAATCGAATTAGGAAATACCTCAGAGTGAATAGTGCTGTAAGTCACCCGAAAGGGTTTTAGTTGCTTAAAAAAACATTTAAAAAACATTTTTATAGAGAAATTGCTTGTAATTTTCTTCGTGGATCCTCAAAGAAATGATCACTTTGCCGACAGAAGACCGAGGCGCGTTGAATCACACCTCATTTTTGTTTTCGTGGCTAGGAAGTGGTCTAACCGTGAGCGACGGACGGACGGATTTACCCAATTACAATATGAAGATATAACGTGTTATTACTTCTTTGGTCATTGACATTTCCTGAACTCACTTGATAAATCTTATTTTAAATGAGATGTCATTATAACATAAAAATATTCACAGTTTTTATTTAAAAAAGAATTTACACTTACATTCTAAAACATAATTTTCTTTTAATTGCTTGACTTGGTAGCAAGATGCCCCATTAATATTGTCCTGACTCTGGGTGACATCAAATCTCTTATGATACTGCGAATACTTTTACGAGAAATAATTGAAGTAGTACACTGATATTGAACTTTCAAAACTTTTCCCCAGTTTTTGTATTTCATTGTTTACTTATAACACAGAGATTAATGTATTTATTACTATTGCAATTTTGGCAATGAGCCACGCACATTTGGAAGAAAATCGATTGGCGTTAGACATTTGTCTATCATAAAGAAGAAAAAGATAATTTTTGTATAATAGTTAACACATCACAATTATGTGTTAACGTTGAAAAATTGATACCTTCTTTTTGAATGAAAAAGCCTTAATGCAATGTAAAATACTAAATCAAAATATCTATAAATGTGTTTTATTGTACAAGTTAAGAAAATCAAATAACTCTCTTAATGAAGTTAAAAAGCCTTTTTAACATTTTAAAAAAATGTATTGTTTACCGATCTCAGGTCCAGTATTATTTATACAAATACTGCTAATTCTAACGACACTCTGCCTGAATACCAGAAACCTGCTAAGAAAGAAAAAGGAAAATTTAAGCGTCCATATTTTTCCTTTGTATTCTGGTTTGAGGAATCCTATCTGACGATGCTCTAGCGAACGCAAAATTTTTACTTATTTTCCTGAATGAACAGGCCAGTCTTTCCTGGTTCACCTTTTCCGCGATGTAGTGACGTCTTCCATAGTGCAGAAATGTGAAAGGATGGAATGGTGCCAAAAGCGCCTCCATAGCGCCAGACAAGTGAGTGAGCCAAAGCGGTGTGTCCATTAGACCATACTTCCACTCTCTGATCCACGTGCTACTTAAAAGGTTTGTCACAAAATGTGTCAATGATAACGGTAGGGAATTGAAAACTACATAAAATAAGCATTATTAAATGCTGACGGAAAGGATTCGTTACGCTTTCAAACCGGGAAAAGTTATTTTGAAATCTTGGAACTATTAATTTCACAACATTCAGATCGATAACGACGTTTGATAGCATCTCCCTTTATAAATATAAATGAACGCAATGATAAATTTTAAACAGAAATATTAATATTTACAATGGCATGTACTTATTGTATAATAACTAAAAATAATTATTAGACGTCTTTCATACAAACGTCTCTTCTTTCTATTCAAAAAATACTATCAAATTTTAGACAGTTATAGACGGTTGGGATGAATAAATGCTGGGGCAACGTCGGATTACTTCAGCAGGCCATTAATACAATTAATTATTTAATATTAATTACTCCTACCTTAATTAAAGATGTCATTGCCAACAATATTTTTTATTGCATTAAAAAATATTGTTGGCAATGACAACATCTTTAATTATTTTAAAAATGTCAAAGATATCACACCACAACACCTATACTCCTACCTTACCTTACCTGCATGACCTTAGTAAGTCACATTTTATTCAATACACTGAAATTATTGAATTGTTCAATTTTAATAGAATTGTTTAATAACGATTTTGTGGCTGTGTTCTGAGTTTTTTGTCACATTTCTCGAACTGTAGAGACAGAATCTTCTTATTACCACACCCGCTTACCGCATTTTTTCATAGAATTTCATTTCTCAGAAAAAATCAATCTTGTCAAGGACAATAATGTATTAAAGATATTTCTTTTGTTTTAACCAACCACGAAAGACGCGGTTAAAGGAACGATGATCCAAGGCAGGCACGACAAGGTCACGCAACTCCAGTGATGTTCAAAACTAAGGGTGGTAGGAATTGCTTTGGGGAAGGGGGTGTCACTGGATAGATGGTAAATGACAGTCTTTTGGAAAGTTGACTTTAGTTGAGTAATTTGGCAAGAATATTTAATTTTTTTAGGAAGTAATTGCAGGATAAATAAGCCCTAATTTTGCTCACATCAGATCTGACAATTTTCTTCCATGATTCCATTATTAAATAATCTAATATCAAATTTAATTTAGAAATATATTTTGAAACATGTATAGTGACTTGGAATGCCAATTACAACAATTTGAGGGAGAAAGAACAGTCTCTGCTTTTCATCCTTTGTATAAAATGAAATAACAAAGATACTCTTTTTAAAAAGTTACTTATTATTTACAGTACATGATACTGCACGTCGAAACTTGCCAGATACATAGTAAAAATATTATTTTGTGTTAAATATGTGTCACAACTCATTATATGGTTTATTGTGTTAAAAAGAGCGCTAGGTGAAGGAATTGATAATTATGTAGGTAATTAAAACCATATATAAAAAGATATAATTTATTAAGAAAATCATGTTCTGAAGATTAACACCGATCTGAGTGTTTGCGATATTAATTAAATTGTGCACGTATTTTATCGTAGCTCCACATTTCAAACTTCCGAGGTGAAAATCGAGGAACATTGAAAGCATGAAACGGGTATGATGAGCATCTGAGTACACAGTTACGCGTGCTAAAAACCTAAGGCAGTGCATTGTAGGAGAGAGATACCCGTATCGAAACGGGTTGATTTTTCCGTAGCATTGCGTGCTCATGATGAATGCGGCAAATTACTGTTTACTTCAGATTAGTCAACAAGCCATAGTGGCACGTTTTACACTCTTAAAAGAAAATTATAGGCGTGCGCAGTCAACAAGAGGGACCAACCTCGTTTCAGAGCCCCCATTCCATTAAACTATTTTATATACATATGACACATTGTAGATAAAATAGTAAATAAATAAATTGTTTTACAAAGAGAATTAAATTACAATTGATTTTATTTTGAATTGTAGAGGAGCCGGTTTTTTATTTATGGCTGTACCACTTATAGTGCTATCAGATTGCTCTTCCGCAAATGTCAGGTAACAATTACTAAAACTGACAGATTAAAAAAGGATAAAACCGGGGATTGAACACATCTATGGAAATAAAATGTTTTATTATGTAAAGCTACTTTCCAAAATTTCCACAGAGGTCATAGCAAATTTCCCGTAAAACGTGTAGAAAAATGTTTGCGGTACATTGAGTGTATTTTTCCACTCGCTTTCAAAAACGTCCACAGGCAGCACAATGCAATTTCTCCTGACTTAGCAAATATTTTATCAGCCTTTCCAAGCATAACGAGATAGAAAATACGGCTATCCGTCTCGAAATGACCTCGTTACACTGACAAGAGCAGCACCACCTGACTGGGCTGACTCATTTCCTTGCATTATCATAAGAACTTCATCGCATAGTTTGCATGATATACGTACTTCCAAGCACGAACGGGGAATTGACGATATATCAGCACTGATAAAACAGAGCAGCAGCGAAAAGCAATGATCGGTTGTTTATTACAATTATTAATTTGCAGATACGCTCGTGGCTAGCTCTTGGTCAGCGCGCTTGCTTTCCACTACGCGGCCCCGGGTTCGACTTCCGTTCGAGCCAAGACTATAGTGTGCGTTTTCCTTGCAACGTCCCAGTATATGTTGGTGTGTGACGATGAGAAAATTACTTCTCAGGAGAAGACTGGAATACGGCATATGGATGTCTACGTGCTTACCACACATACCCCCTGAACCCATGGCCGCGAGGCAGGGACGTCGCCGGTAGGCCTGAGCCCGTTCACGGGCTGTCGCGCCAAGTACATACGTATATACAAATTGCAGGTAAGTTCTGAGAAAGATTTTCTTCTTGGACCCGAATCTATCGAGCAGGCATTTGCAACTTGAACTTTACTCAGTTATCTGAATGTAAATAGTTCGAATACAAACATTTACGAACTTATCGCACTTACACACTGAGAGTCGGAAGAAATGTCAGGAATTCCTCATTTTTGCTACCGGAAGGACATAATACTTCCTAAACAAGCTCTGTAAGAGGGTCTCTCTATTTCCTCTTTCTTACCTTGTTAAAATCTTCTTTCTAAATGTGCTTCTTTCTTTCTCCTCACAATTCAACATCAAGCTCTTTACTTACAGTTATATTTCCTAAGTAAAAAATACCTGTTGTGTATTCGAGTGAGAGATCTGTCTTGAACGGTCATTTTGTTCAACAACACGACTTTCAGGAAACAAGTAAGTTTAGCCTGACTGTTGAAAGCTCTAGAATTCGAACTTTCCTGTGGAGACGTACCCAGGAGAAATTTGACCAAACACAACACTTCAGAAATAGATAAATGTTCTTGAGACCACTATCTGAGACTTCAATTTTACACTACAACGTAGTTTTTAGTGACTGTAATAAACTCAATGGACGTATCTGAATTTACACTTAAGTACTAATGAAATCAATTTTTTGTGTATTCATTGTTCTGTAGAGAAATTACTAACAATCGAATTTCTTATATTGATGGGTGTTAAACAGAGGACAGTAATGAATTTTATTATTAGTGATGATTGGTATGGGTTCATTTATAGAGTGTGGCGCCTTAACTACGAGATGAAAATGCATAGGTAGTTTTGGAAAAAAATAATACAAAGACGATATGATGGTGAAAAAAAATTGTAGAATTAGGATTATGACAAACGGAATTATTCAAGCAAAGCTGAGAAAATCCTTTCTCTAAATAAATGGAATACTTGGAATAACCGGAATTATTATCTCAATGGAAGCGCTCTGACTGCTGGATAATGGGCATTTCTCGCGAATAACTAAACATGGCTCGTTAATTCGAATGCTTACAAAGAGTAGTTTGCATATCGGAAGGTGAAGAACACGTGCGTCTTACGCCTACAAAATGGAAAATCTGTAGTGTAAATAGCTGCGTTGGAAATAACTTTTGCGCCATTTGGTTGACGAATTCCTCAGAATGCACTTTTTATTTGCAGTTAGGTACATTTAAGGTCACGAAAATAGAAATTTAATAATGATTAGGGCATGTGCGTGCTACACAACAAAGCGTGCTGACACCCGACAACTTATCACTATGTTACTCGCAACGCAACAGGTGGTAGCCCAGTCGGTTCTGAGCCTCGGGAACAAAAGTAATCGTGGTGACAATAGCAGCGATGTTGAAATTATTGTTAATGGAGCTTACAATTATGGTAATCTCGGTAGTGATAAATTCCAAACAAAAACAATTAGTCTAGAGATTCCCAATGGGGTGGGTACGGACCCTCTAAGGAGTCGATGAAATTTTAAAGGGGGTCGATGATGATTAAGGGGTTCATATGGGTATTGTGGTGAGTTATCGTTGGCATTTCTAATGAAATAATTATATGCGTCGTCTTTTTAATAAATTATATTGTTGGCAATGACGACGCATATAATTATTTCAAGGGGTTTATAGCCAAATATGTTTCATATACTGATCAATATAATCAAGATCCTACTGATTTCAAAAAAATTATAAATGAAATTGTACATTTTTTCTTATATAAAAGTTTAAAAATCTAATAATACTTATTTATATTTCTAAAAATTTTAAATTGTAATAGAATAATAAATAATAAAACATAAACCTAATAAACCATTTTTTAAACTTTGATTCACATCCTTTGTCTAATTGTTTTCAAGTCATATATGTGTAATTATCTGTTTAATATTTATTTTGTTTGCTGTACGTTACAGCAAAAATTCAAGATGGTCGTGAACCAAACAACTTTGTTTAAATAGTTCGATTCAAGAATAATTTTGGGAATCCCTGAACTTGACCAAAAATCGCCAGATTTTGTGTAGTATTCTAGATTGAAGTGTATTACCAACGTGATAGTTCCTCAGTTTCAAACCATTGCTATGCATGAAATAAATAAAAAAGAAACGGTAGCGGTAAGAAACAGTACAGAAAAGAGCGTGGACAGGGTGACCATGTAGACGAAGGATGTCACTTCGGCGAAGAATGAGATTCGAAGACTGGCAGCAAATGATGCTGAGTGACGACAGGCAGCCGGAACATACGTTTGGATTATGGACGATTTTGTGTGAAACACTGCCTTAACGAATACGATAATTACTTAAAGAGTTCACCTCATATTAACATTGCCGATCATCAGTCGGTGCCGCATGATTGCAAAAGACTTTTTACTAACGAGTTGAGAGAAAGATAAATGACGATGATTAAAATGTTCTTAAATTTATGAAAACATGCTTAGAAAATGTATGCACATGAAGCAGTGAATTTAAACTTATTTATGACGTTCCAGTCAAACATTAATATTGTAATTTACACGCTGGTTGAAAGATATGGCTGGAAAATCACAGGTTTTTTTTTTATCCTGAGAAAGTGCCAAAATCCTTTTCTTTCTTAGAGGATCTTCAATATATAAAAGAAGTTTTCTCGCCAATTGCTACTTACCAAATTGTTCTCTTCACCCTTTATTTGTTAACAGACGATTCTTCAATCCACGCTCCTTTTTCAAACCACGTTTCTTTCGTATATTTCCAGAACACATCATGTCGTCGCCATTATCTTCAAAACCTGGGCAAGACATATTAGACATCAAGTTTTTTCTAGTGAACTCTGTTATTAATAATATGTGAGACATCATTTCAAGAGATATTGCCGATTCTTAGGTCTTTCATAAAAGTTCAACAGCAAGATTTTCGCCAGAAAATATCCATCCAAGTGCAGCCTTCGGACGTCACTGCCGCGAAGGTGTGGCCAGCATGTATTATTCGGCTCCAAAAATGCATTATACACACACACACACACATTCTCTCTCTCACACACACACGACGAGTCACCCTTGGAATACTTGGTATATGTCAGATGACTCCATAAAACTTAATTGCATGTATGCTTGCTTCTGTAAGCAGCTGGAAGACAGGGTGTAATTTTGCACAAGAAGTATTGTTGGGATTGAGACGCCTGGAAAAAGAAACGAGGGAAATCTCATGATCCCTCACTCGACAAACATCATGTGACTGGGTCACTATTCCCCTCTCCGCGATGTGATGCCGACAGGCGGTTCCACGGGGAGGATAGAGGCGGGAGGTTTGGTTTCAGTGAGTAAAAAACCCACGTTAGGTAGTGCGGTGTCTTTTCCGGATTTCCACCTACCCTCGTAAAAAAGAAACACACATACACACACACACACAAGAAAACACCTCCGCGCGTTGAACGCTGATAGGCGCGCTCGGGCAAATGCGGAGGTGACGGCGGGTGGCCTGGGCGTTGCGCCACGGCGACGCCGAGCCTTATTCGCTGATCGAGGCCACAGGAGCGCGCGCGGGCAGGCCGGCCGCGCGGCGCGGAGCCTTCTGTTAAGGGAGCGTGCCGCAATCGCCCCCGCCATCTGCACACGGCGGGGAGCAACGCAGCAGCAGCAGCAGCAGCACCGGCGCACTGTGCGCCGAAATGGAAGGCAAACCGCTCACTACTCCGAATGCGCGGAACCGTTGATCCAAATGCATTAACTCCACGGTTCATTTCATTTTCGTTTCAAGCGAATTCTTAATTTTTGTAACTTTCTGAACGCGCGTTAAAGACAACGTAATAAAAGTGCTGTTAATAACTTAACTGACTTTCCGGCTTAAACTGAATCCTTACGACTTGATGCTTCAATTTGGCGGTAATTAATGTTTATTTATCATATAAGTGGTAAAAGATACATTTTATTTTACGAATATAAATGTCGCGACAGGAGGTCCATAGGAGCAATTCCAGGAGCAAAATAAAATTACTTTTACCACGTGTGTAATACACTGTTTTAGGCAGACTCTGTCTAGTATTTTATTTTAATTCGAGTATACAAATAAGTTAATGATACATTAGAGTCAATAGTAGCTGATGCGGCCTGACGAAAGTTATTTTTTTCTTTGTTGCACTCGCAGATTTATTGGAACACATGAGCAACGTCTCTCGTTCAGAGGTAATGCTAGAAATTGAACTTGTAGCACTCTATACATGCCTTCAAAACCCGTTGTTAGTAAAACCTAATTTTGTAATGAAATTTTTTAACGTATTTTTGTTACTTATCCATGGACTACTCTTAGTCCAAGTTAGACGAGTCAGATAATTATTATGATTAAAATGAGTTTTATTACGAACTTTCAAAGCGCTCAAATTAAAAAAAATTAAACATGAAAATACTCGGCGGTGTCGCGACGCAAGCGATTTTGTCCGCGGCCAGGCGCTTCCAAGCCACTGCGCGGCGCCGCTGAGGCCCGGGGCGCCGCGCGACGCTAGACGACGCGAATGGGCGCGAGAGCGCGTCGCTCTTGCTCGCGCGGGAGCTCGGGCGAGAGGTCAATGGAACGCACGCGGTGCTCCGCCTCGGGCCGGTGTCAGGGGCGGAGAAACAGGTGCGACGAGGCGTTGCGAAATCCAGCCTATCTTCCGATGTTCGCCTACTGACTAAGTTTAGATTTTGATGAAAATTAGACGGACGTTCGGTTGACCTGGTGTTCCACCAGACATTTATTTCGGCCAAGAGAAAAAATAATCATAACATATGAAGGTCGGCCCCGTGGCGCAGGCGGTTGCGGCAGCCGTCGTTTGCACCGAGGAGGCTGCAGCTTCGAGTTCTGCGTATACATGGTCTTATTTGTGATTGTCCCTTCACCCACCATCATCTCATAATTCACACTTCAAGGCGTAACAACCTTGTCGAACTGAGAGATACAGCTGAAAAGCTAATCCTTAAATTACACACGTTAAACGCGTAGCATGGTCAGTAATGGTCTTTACGCCAATATTAATAATAATAATAATAATAATAATAATAATAATATATGAAGAGCTAAGCATCTAAGGTTTGGTTCCGATTGGGAAACTGTCAGATAGTCCACAGTGATGATTGAGGACTCAGTTTAAAGCGTCAGAAGTGAGACAAACTTCCAAAATTTTGTCCCCATCCCTACAACTTGTAAGGTGGTGAGGGAGAATCACCTAAGATTTGCTACCCACAGTAAGCCCTCGGATTTGAGCGGCGGCTCATGGTTCATTTGAAAGCGTGGAGACGTTTCGTTTGTTCAAGCAATGTTCACCTTGACGGAATTTCTTACAAACTTATAAAATCGACCTACATATTCGAAATTAAAGATATCTACATCAAGGTTTCAACATTAATTATTATTTATGATAAATTAATAATTTCATATGCCAATCATCGTAAATAAGTGACGTTGAATACAATAGTTTGGCCGAATTGTGCAATAATAATAATATCATTAACTTCCCTCAATTCTGGCAATTCAACTCGTTGAGTATTAAAAGGCATAGAATAATACAATGTAGTTACAATAGAACAACAATTACCGGCATCGTATCAACAACTTGCTAGTTTATTTGCTCTACCAAAAAATTAACAATACAATTTAAGTTGGAGAATAAATTCTGTGACTTGTCTATTTCCGTATAGTAACTTCCAAGAGATTCATAATGAAGCAACACGAAATAAATCGACGTATAAGGTGTGCAATGAACTTACTTCCACACATTTCCGGGAAATTATAAAGTATCCGGGAAATTATCCTACTAGATAGGATGGTTATCCGGTAAAGAAAATATTGTCACGTATTCAGTTTCGCTTTCCTCTGCCCTTCTTTTATTTTCAATTCTTATCACGCAACAAAAAGGTTGACGCAATCTCACAATTTTCAAAGGCGTGATATATAAACATCCAGATGAAAATATAAATTCTGTGTTTATATATTTTATTGTTCTTGATAAAAATAAAATACTGAGTCAGGAGCTAGGGGCTATATTAAACTCTCGAAATTGTACATGAAAGTTCAAGAACAGAGAAATCGAAAATAAAAAATGTTATTAAATTGCAATCTTATGTTTTATTACTTCAATTTAATGAGCTTTTCTGTGTTATACTATTTTTTGTATTGATTGAAACCACTGCACTTATTATTTAGAGAATTACAATTAGAACGCATACTTCAGATTGAAAAAGAGAATATAAATTGCAGAGAATTACAGTAGTTGTAGAATTAATGGCTATAACTTAAACATTGCATCAAATAATTGCTTCATTGTAACCAGTTGCAAATACATTATTCAGGAACCAACATCAAGCACTATTTGATAAAAAAATGCTAGAAATGCAAAGAGGATAATAATTATTGCTGGCATGTCAATCCCAGAAATCTGCCATCACCATCTACCAACGGTTTCTTCTAGTTGTTGATCCCCCTTATAGGACATCGCTCATCAAGTCTATGCTGACACCCTCACGCTAACCAGTATTTTTCATCGGCGCAATTCATAAAATACGCGTGTCATCTATTCCCTTCTCAACAGTTCACTTAAAGAACAAGACGAAAATATGGAAATGTTGAAAATGATAGTGTTAAGTAAAAGCAGAAAAGATAAAACACATTACACGTGGTATTGTGACAGTAAATATCAGACAACTTCGGTCACTTCTCATTCACTTTACAATACTGTGATTTGGCAAATCTGCGATCATATTATAGTGTCTCAATCAAATACTACACTGGCGAATGAAAATATTCTGTAAAATTACAATCTTCTGAAAGGTACCCATTACGTGTCCAGTGGACTACTCGCCAACTGTTCCAGCCACTCTTGAGAAATAGTTGAGTTTTTTTCCTCAACGAACAGCTAATTTATTATGCCAATTTCCTCGTTTGACTTTGTCTCTAATTTACTGAGATATGCCTCTGTTCATGGAAATTTTTACATACAATAACCACACCACTACTCATGGATCTGAGAACCTTTTCAATCCAGTCTACTCGACCTCTCCAAGTCCTTTAATTCTTTATTTAGGGTCTTCTACTATGCGCCACGCTACTAAGTAGGGAACAAATGACTACGTTACAATTCATAGACTCCACAACATTCCGAAGGATTTCCTTGAAGTTTGAAGCTTATGAACTCTTAAAATCTAGGCACAAATTCCTTGAATGGGCACGACTATCGTCACGCCGTGAAATTATCAACCGTAGAAACATTGTAGTAAAAAAGTACATAAAGTTTTCAGTCTAAAGATTGTAATGCTATCGATATCCCGAAAAGTCCGATGCTATTTGATACAAAAATGAATATTTATTAAGAAATAAAGTTACAAAACTAAGAAATAAACTAACTCGAATCACGATAACACCGCACAAGATAATAACGCCAAGAACTCTGAAACTGAAATGATGATAGAATATAAGGAATTAATCAAAGGTTCGTGTTGGGCCGGAGTGGTTCCCAGCGTCACTCTCGCAAACAGCCTCTTGAATCGCTCTCAAATATTGTGCGTTCAGCTGATTCGCAGATTAAATCGGATAGTATGTACTCTAGAGTAAAATAACCCTCCACAAGGGCGGGTAAAACGCTTCTATTCTACTCGTGAGTTACTATCTTAGAGTAAATTCTTACTCGGGTAACTACTCTCAACTTTACTCGGATGTTGGTGAAACCGGCCCCCAGCGGAGTTCAGTGGCCAGGAGCCCATTTGGCGGTCACGGCCCCCTCCGGTGCTCGCACCATCCGTCGTCCGCGAATGCCAGCAGGCGCCACGCCGGTTCCTTACTTGGAGGATGCCGAATGCGGAAGGTTAGCATGAGGGAGGTTCAAGGTTCAAATCTCTGTCCGGGAGACGCAGCCGAACGTAATTTTCTTTCGGTTTCCTCGATTGCTCGGCCAACCCCTCACTTGCTACGTTTCTGAGATTGCAACACTGCTTTCTTTCATGTGCACCGACATGAAACTCACGAGGAAGTTGCCCTTTCGGGACAATTGACAGAAATAGGAATTTGTAACCACAAGCATGCCGCTGAGCAGACACTTACGTCAGCAGTCACGGTCATTTTCTGTACTTGTATTGTGAATGAATACACATTAGTTGAGAAGTGTGTTGAATATTTACAAAAAGGATTTCTCAAATTAACACAATTTTTATTAACACAACAATTATTAAATTATTTCAAATTGGAGAGGAAAAATAAATTTTACCAAGCAGCGAAAACATAGCAAAGTGAACTACAAAAAATTAATAATTCCTAATTTTGTCTATGTTTATATCAATTATATAGCGTCGGTATCAATAAAATACAGCTAGTTACACAATTGCAAAGAGTATACACCGCAAGGCATTTAGATAATCCATCAATATTTTTTTAAAATATTCATTAAATATTTCGATTCCTAACATTCAGATTAGTGACCATGAATCACCAATCAATTTCTATAGAAGTATTTAACATTCCTACAAGTACACTCCTTGAAATTTCCATGAATGCGTAATCCTTCTGCCTACTCATCGCACAAAGAGAATGGGATTCCACGTCTTCCTCCGTTTGCCTCTCACTTTCCTCCAGTGCACGCAGGGAGAGCAACGTGCTGTCGCTAAAAATACGGGCGGAGACGCAGCACCGCTTGTGCAATCGCACACGCCACGCCTATGCGTGACCATGCCGCGGGCGCTGCCCGGCGGAACACACTGGTCGGAATGACAA